CCTGGCGGTGGGGCCCAGGAGCAGGTGCACATCCAGGTGGTGTCGCCCCGTCCTGGACGCTGAGTCCGAGATCACAGGCGGGCGGGGGAGGGCCCACGGCCACGGGCGGGCAGGGAGCCAGAAGAAGGGGAACTCAGACAAAGGGACAGACTTCACAGGTTTCTCCAAGAAAGTGACTGAACAAACCAACCCCAGCCCCAGCGGAAGCCGAGCAGCACAGGGTGTAGCCAGCGAGGCCAGCGTTGGACAGAAACTCCATGGCGGGCAGAGGCCTCGGCCGGGAGCAGGGCAGGGACGGGCTGTCTCCCAGGGGCACAGGCTTCAGAGCAACTGTACACACCTGTCCGGGGAGGGGGGGACGGGGACGGGGACGGGGACGGGGCGGCTGGCAGAGGTTGAGGGGGAAGAGGACGGCCTGTGTAATACTTCCAACAGTAAAGATTTAAAATAAAATAAAATGATCGAGGACAAACTGGAAACCTGGAAAAAATGAATAAAATTGTCCAAAAAGCTAGAGGAAAGCATGTTTAGAGGATGACTGGGAAGGAAGACGGCCATAAAGAGACACATTATAAAAAACAGAACACCCGGCCGACAGCCTGGAGTCGGAAATTCCCTGCGGGGACTGGACAGCAGAGCGGGATGCCAGGAGCCCTGGCCGGGGCGCTCACTGGTTCGAGCGTCAGCCCTCGAACCCAAGGGCCTCGGGGTCGATTCCGCTCAAGGGCACCTTCCTGGGTTGCAGGCTCGATCCCCGGCCCAGGTGGGGGTGCGTGTGGGGCAGCCCATCGATGTGTCTCTCTCACATCGATGTTTCTCTCACTCTCTCCCTCCCTCTCTCTGTAAAAAGTAATGGAAAAATATCCTTGGATGAGGATTAACAAAAAAATTTAATAAATGCATCATGCAAACCATAAGCCCATTAGAAAAGAGGCTAATAGTGGAAATAAAATGGAATACTAAGAACATGTTACATATAAATGTACACGATGTATGCATATTATGTGTATTATTGTGTGATTATGTACATAAATATATCTAATTAATCCTAAAAGCCAGGTACGGAAAGAGGAGCGGAGAACGGATGGGATGAAATAGAGAGCGATTAGCAGGACAGTAGGATTTAAACCAACCATATCAACAATTCCCTTAAACATAAAGGGGTTTAAAATTTGAGACAAAAAGTAGAGATTGTCAGATGAGATGAAGAAGCGAGACCTAGCTGTATGCTAGAACTAAACATATATATATGTGTGTGCAGTTTTAAAGTGAAACCAAAGAAAAAACAAGAATAAAAAATAAAAAAGTAAAACCAAAGAAATATATATATGTGTGTAGTGCAATGAAGAATTGTCCTTCATAATGATAAATCGGGGACAATTCACCAGAAAACATAATGAACTGATAGTCTGCAGCCTCGGGAGCGTCCCGCGGCGAATGGCCCGTGTGGGAGGGGGTGAAAGGTCAAGCCGTCCCTGGGCGAAGAGACACAACAGTTTGCCAGGCAGCCCCCCGCACCCCCAGTGCACAGGGAGCTGCACCCCAAAAGGAGAGTCGCCGGCGCAACTGAAAAACGGGCAGGAAAACACTGGGCTAGCGACTCACAGGGACCTCCAGGGGGCAGCAATGGGAGGGGGGGTCGGGAGGGGTCAAGGACAAGCAGAGGCCACGGGAGGAGCGGCCCCTCGAGGGGGAGGGCTGGGGGGACAGCAGACAGTCTAAGGATGGGGCAGGAGAGGGCGTCCCATGCCGTGCCCAGCGTGGGCGGCGGCGGTCACACCTCCAACCTGCACCTGATCCGTGGACGCCTGCCCCCAGAGTCTAGAACATGGATGGGAAAACCGGGAGGACAAACAGGCAGGTCCACTGTCCCCGCGGGGCCCACTCCGCTCAGGGACCGCAGCCTGTGACCCCGCACAGGTGCGAGCACAGCGCAGGCCCGCCCGCCCTCAGCCTCGGGCGCCAGGGACCACGCTGCCTGACACGCGCGCTCTCTTGCTAAGGGCACCTGGGACCGTCGCCAAGACGACTGCATGCGGCTCATTAACAATGTCCCAGCCCTGGCTGGCCTGTCGGTTGGTTGAGCATCGTCCCACGAGCCAAAGGTCGCTGGTTGGAATCCTAGCCAGGCCTGCTGGAGGCAGCCAACTGACGTCTCTCTCTCTCTCTCTCTCTCTCTCTCTCTCTCTCTCTCTCACCAATAAAGACATTTTTTTAAAAAGTCTCAATAAGTGTAAAATGATTTAAGCCACCGAGGTGTTTCTCTGGCTCCCAGTGGGGCTGAGGCCGTGCGGTGTAGACAGACAGAAAGTCCTGCGTAGACCACGCTCCGGGTGCGCAGCCGGCTTTTGACAGGCAGGCAAGTTATTTCAAAAGAGAAACAATCGCTTCCCCACAGCGGTGCCGGGTCGACGGGATATGTATTTGGGGGGAACCCGGGTCTTTACCTCACATCACACATGGAAATGAATTTACAGGAGTCACAGAGCTAAGTGTGCGGCCGAAAGCTGCAAACCAGGCAGGAGGCCCGGGAGGGGCGCGAGGCCGCCAGCGGGACACGGAAGGCGTGACTCGTAAGAGAAAGTGGGTTAAGCACGTTCCGTCTTAATGAACACCTCTGGTCTGGAGAGGCATCTTTTTTGTAAAGTTTTTGGGTTTGTTTGCTTTTTTTTGGTTGATTGATTTTCGAGAGAAGGGAAGAAGGGGGAGAGAGAGAGAGAGGCATCAGTTTGTTACTCCACCCATCCATGCATTCACTGGCTGATTCTCCTACGTGCCCTGATCAGGGATCGAACCCACAACCTTGGCTTTGGGGGACGACGCTCTAACCACTGAGATACCCGACCAGGGTGGAAATTCTTCAGGAAATGAAAAAGCAACGCATGTATCTGACAAAGGACTGGCACCCGGAACCACAACAGGATAGAAAAAGACAAGACACGCCATTAAACATGGGCAAAAGAGCCCAGCCTGTGTGGCCCAGTGGTTAAGACTCAACCTAGGAACCAGGAGGTCACGGTGAGATTCCCCATCAGGGCACAGGCCCGGGTTGTGGGCTCCATCCCTGGGGGGGAGGGGGGGGCGTGCAGGAGGCAGTCGATCCATGATTCTCTTTCATCATTGATGTTTCCAACACTCTCTCCCTCTCCCTTCCTCTCTGAAATCAATACAAATATATTAGGGGGGGATGGGCAAAAGGTTTGAACAGACACATCCCAAATATGACCAATAGCACAAGACCAGACGCAGTCGGCATCAGCAGTCACCAGGCAACTGCGAATTCAGACCAAGGGAACGAACCAAACTCCCAGGAGCAGACAGACAGACAGCAGTCCCTTCCGTAGCCGGGAGCCCCTGGCACCCACATGGAAACGTGCTCCTGGCGCCCCCGCATCGGCCGCAGGAAGTGTGCGCTTCCTGGGAGAGGCAGAGCCGAGGGGTGGTTTAACAATCCAGGCCCCGGCCAGTGGCTCAGTGGGTAGAGCCCGGCCCTCGGACACAAGGGTCCCGGGTCCCATTCCGGTCGAGGGCACGGACCTCGGTTGCAGGCTCCTCCCCGGCCGGGCCCTGGTCAGGGCGAATGCAGGAGGCAACCCATCCATGTTTCTCTCACATCATGTCTCTGTCTCTCCCTCTCCCCGCCCTTCCACTTTCTCTAATATCAATGGGAAATACCCTCGGGTGAGGATTAGCAACAACAAACGCAGAAAATCAAACTTCCCAAGACGAATGGAAATGACCTGGGGTGAGGGAAACAGTCCTTAACCAGGACCCGAGTGGCCGGAAAAAGCCACCTGACACCGTAAAGAGCTTCTGTTAGTCAAAGGGCACCTGCGGGGGTGGGGGTGAAAGGTCAAGCCGTCCCTGGGCGAAGAGACACAACAGTTTGCCAGGCAGCCCCCCGCACCCCCAGTGCACAGGGAGCTGCACCCCAAAAGGAGAGTCGCCGGCGCAACTGAAAAACGGGCAGGAAAACACTGGGCTAGCGACTCACAGGGACCTCCAGGGGGCAGCAATGGGAGGGGGGGTCGGGAGGGGTCAGCTGACCCAGGAGGGGCCCAGCACCCTCAGTCCTCAGGACAGGCCC